TGGTGGCGGCGGTGGCAGCAACAATAAAGTTACTCCTTCTTTCTTTGCGTGAATATTTGGGCGGCATTATGCAAATCTTCCCACATCGTGACGTAGATATGTGGGGGCGTGTTTTAACGAGACGTTTTAGGTAGGCATGAACCAGTCTAAACTTTTATAAAGAATATCTCTTTGGGTTTGAGACTTTAGTCTTTGCAACTTTAGGGATCTTATCTATTCACGAACAGCTTGTAACACTCCAAAGAGAAAGTAAAACTTGAAATCGCATCATATGACCCCTTTAAAAAAATGCAGATTTTGATTGCATAGGATTAAACATGCACTTAATCATTAGATTTTTTTATATAATTAGTTACAAATGCTGTTATAAACTGCTTTAAGGTGGTTTAACATTTACAACTATTTTTTTTTTTTTTTCCCGATCTTTCTCAGATTTTGCAGTGTTTGTGAGAGGTATGTGTCAGCAGGAAACAAACACTGCCCAAAGTGTGACACGTGCCCATCTAAGGTGAATGCTTATTTCTTATTCAGTGTATGGAATAGGAGTAGATTAACTGACGTTTACCTATTTATCTCACAGGATGGGCGAGAATGGAGGCACTGTGATGAATGTGGAAGGTGTGTGAAGCCTTGTAAGTAGATTTGAATTCATTTAAACTGATGTTTCCTAATGTGTTTATTTCTCGCTCTCTTACCACTTTCTTTCTGCTCTTATTCTCTCTCCAGCGTGGCGTCATTGTTCCTCATGTGGTCACTGTGCTCTCCCTGATCACCCTTGTGGTCAGAGCCAAACTGGCTGTTTCAACTGTGGCAGCCAAAAACACAAACTTAGAGCTTGTCCTAAGAAACACAATAAACGGTGAGTATAAACCAGGGTTATTATAGTTCACTTAAAACAACAACAAAAAAGTTACTTGAATTGAAATAAACGGTTACTGAAATAAAATATATATCTTTTTAATTACTTAGTTCCCAAGGCAGCATTTCTTACTTTTAGTTTAAATTAATGTACTAAAGTAACTAAATTTAAAACTATATTGACATTAAGGACCTAAAAAATAAATAAAATAATACAAATGACAAAAACACAAAATTACTAAAACTTTAACTAAAAATCAAAAATATTCTGAATTGTAAAAAAAAAAAAAATTTTAAATTCAAAATATTAATAAACACTGTAACAGTTTTTCAGAATAATCAGTCAAGATGCTATACCGACAATACTGTAGTAACATGTTTCTACAGGAATAACACTTAATATGTTGGTTTCTGCACTCATACAAACTGTTTTTTCAAGTCTATTTAATATTAATATAATTCTCTTACACATTTTGCCAACAGAATGATTGTGCCAGGTGGCCGTGGCGCTCCAGGATTGTTAAAACACATTGCTGGCAAATCCACAACTAAGAACAAGAGAAGAAGAGTTACATGATCTCGTGCACACACAGTGCATTACAGGATGGGTTTGTGGCGGCTGAAAATTGCATCATGATCACAAAGTTTGAAACATCTAACTGGTGTTAAACCTACATCTATACAAGAAGGTTGTTGTGTATGTACAGCCATAGTTGTCTTCTTGCATCCTGTTTTTGTCACAAGCTCATCCTACACTACAACTTTCTCAGTACAATTGACACGTTGTGTGAACAAACCTCATCCTTGGTATGGAGTAACGTTTCAAAGAAGCTTTGTTCCAGCTTATGTGGCTCAAACTGTGATGATCTGTGGATAAAATCTTTGAATACAACTACTGTATTACTGGAATGGATGTCATTTTTGGGTAACACTTTTGACAGAGCTAGCAGACATGTAGTTGCAAATTAATGAGAATTAGTTGACATGTAGTTGCAAAGTTACTTATAGTTAGTATAATGTCTAAAGTGGACTATCAAAATAAAGTGTAACCCATTTTAGTATTTTTAAAAAATGACACAGATTTCTTGTTAAATATATCATTTTTAATGTAGAAACGGGAACAAAGCAGCTGGAAAGCATGTCATACTTCACTTTTTTTAAAAACATTAAAGGAACAATTTATTGCCAGTTCTCAAGAAATTCTGGGCTTTTGAATTTATGTGCTTTAACGCAAACAAAACAAAAGCATTTGGCATGAATTTAAAATACAGTAGTCTTGTAGTTGATAATCACCTGTGATTATGGATGCAGCCAAAGTCAAGTGATGCTCAGCACCTAGTTTTAAGCTTAGTGTTATTAAAAAGAAAGAAACTTTCAACATCGGTTTCAAGCCTGTCCCATTAATGCAGATTTAAATAAATCACCTGACATAGTTATTAATGCTTTACAATGCCAGAAATTCAAGTTATTAAAATAGATTACTAAAACCGAAACAATCATAATCCATAATGCCTCATAATCTGCGATGCTTCGTAACCCATTGAGCTGCCAAGCATTAATACTGCGGTTAACATGGGACTTTTTAGAGTCTGCCACTGTTCGATTTTATATGGTGTCAATCCATGTCATGCTGCTACAATAGTGGTTAAATTCACAGTTTAGTTAACGAGGAAAATTGTAGTTCAACATATAGAAGATATAAAGATATTTACATTTACAACTACTTAAGCCTCTTCAGAATCATGATTATGCTTGAAAAGCTCCACAATTTATACAGTTATCTATAAAAAAAAAAACATTCATAAAGTTTTCCATCTTTAAGTCAGGCCCACTTCTGTAAACTGTCCTTTAGTAGTTGGTGGAGGCACCTGTCAGTCATGACATTCGTCTTATATCCTTCCGTGGCGTATGGAGAAGGCGACAAGTCGTTTGTACATAGCACTGAGGAGAACGATTGCAGCTAGTACTATGCCACATATGACAGTGAAGGCCCATCGGGGTCCCAGGATGGTGTAGACGTGAGAGACAAACACAGGCCCGAGGGTCCGCGCACCACTTCCTGATGCTGTCAGCCAGCCCATGTAAACCCCCTGAGTTCGCACACAATTGGGGAAGAGAATAAATAGCATTAATTTTAAGAAATCATTGTGTTACTTTAATTGGAGATGGGAAATTTCAAAAGAAAAGTGTTTTACCTGTGGTTTGGGGCCTAGTATCTTTGAGTATAAAGTGTAGGACATTACGTTGCATGTGGGATAACCCACTCCAATCAGGATGTCAGAGGTAATGTACTGTGCCAGGTGAATTACAGGGGTAAACAAGCACCAGGCCTGTTCGTATGGGCATCCAGTGGGCTCCAGAGAAGTGTTTGAGGGTGGAGTGGGTGCCAGTCGTATTGCTGGCATAGTGTTATTCTGAATGTCTGTTAATGGGGATAATATTTGTTTAATATACACACATTTCAATTGTAATATACTGTACATTAGCTTTCAAAAGTGTGGGGTTTTGCTTTTAGAAGAGTTTCCTATGCTCACCGAAGATGCATTTATTAAATGCAATCGTTTAAAATAACTTTTCTATTTGAATATATTTTAAAATGACATTTATCCTTATGATAGCAAAGCTGAATTTTCAGCAGCCATTACTCCAGTCTTCAGTGTCACAAGATCTTTTTAATATGCTGATTTGGTGCTCAAGAAAGAGTTCTCATTATCAATGTTGAAAACATTCATGCTGCTTGATATTTTTGCAGAAACCGGGATAAAGGAAAAGCATTAATAAGCATTTAATTGAAATCGAAATCTTGGTTACACTTTATTTTAAGGTGCCTTAGTTACAGTGTTACTAAACACTGAAGTACTGAGTAATATTATTAAAAAAACATGGTGGTGGTTAGGTTTAGGAATAGGGTTTGGTTTAGGTTTAGTTGCATGTTATCATGCATAATTTACTGTTATTACTGCAGCAAGTAAATATAACATGTAACAAGGACACTGTAAAATAAAGTGTAATTTTACCGTCACTTTTGATCAATTAAATGCATCCTTGCGGAATAAAAATTATTTCTTTAAAACCCTTTTTCAAAAGTAGAGTATATTGCTATTTTAATAATAAAACCAGCTTTGCTGAGTTATTTAGATACCTTACCTGCCCACTGTATTTTAGGATATTGATTTCCCCATGGCAACAAGATAAAAAAACCCGCAAATATGAGAATCAAGCCTCCAAGTAGCAGTGGCCGATCTCCTACCCTGAAAAAAACACAACCAAAAAAAGAACTGATTTTATCTGAGATCTGATCAGTCAGCCTGTAAGAGCAATGAGGAAGTCATGTTTTCAAAAACTGCTAACATCCATTATATGTGTTGGGTACAGCAGAAAAAAATGCAACCAACACAAAGATTTCCTAAAATGACTTCTTGAGGTTTTATGGCACCATAAGCTTGAGATGTGTCAAACTGAAGTAAACAACAGGTCTAAATGTTCAAGGTTCTTCAAAACATTTCAAATACATGAGATATTGCAATAGAAAAAGAGCAATTACTGGGGAAAAAAATCTTAAACATTTTTTACCGTGCTGAGACCACTTTTACCACCACAAACACGAGGATGGACTCAAAGCCAATGGCAGCCAATATGATACCATTGTACAAAACAGCTTCTTTCCTTGTCCATGCAAACATGTCCATTGATAGAGGAGTAGATATACTGAAGGGAAAAATTACACATGAATATGCACTAATTAAATGAGCCTTTAAAAATGAGTCTAGATTGAAGTATAACCACTTACGTTTCAAACACAGCAAAAATGAAGAGAATGACAAAGAAAAGGACATTCGATGCAAACACTGCGATCTGGTCAATATCACCTTCTGTCTCAGGAGCCACATCTACTTGCTCTAAAGGCAGAAAGACAAAGCACTGTGTAAAATAGACTATATACTGTACAGTGACACCACTATAATGCAACGGTACACTGCTAAAGTATTTAAACCATAAAATAAATATCTTACCTTCTGAGGTGTAGTTAATTGCACGGATATGATTTCCATGGTCATCCACACAGTGCTCCCTAAATAATGTAAAACATTTTCAATTCTATGCATTGCTTAATTTAAGTACAGTCAAATAATGTAAGGTCAAACCTGAAATAAAACACTCAAATGTCTATGCATTTATATGGTATCATACAACTATTGCCAAATGCTATAAAACACAGAGGTTAAATCATTACCTCAAGACTAATATAACCAGCAGAATGTTAATGATCCCCAAGCAGGCTGCCAACAGCGCTGGAGCAGTGTACATATTAACCTGAAGCTGGATGACATTCACACTGACGCCAGTCTCTCCAATGAATGACAAAGCAGCCTGCAGGGCTGAGAAATTAACGCAATCAACATCTTTTAAAGTTAATGAGCCCTATTAAATTATTAAAAAGACACTATCAAACTAAGTTGGGAACAATTACTGTTCTTGCAGACCATTTTCAGTTCAGATGCATTCTTCAACTAACATGCTTTTATTGCCTTCACACAAACCTGGGCCAAGTATGAAGCCGAGAGCTTGACAGGCACTCATGTTTGCCATTGCACTGGTTCTTTCCTTCAGGGAAGTGGCACCAGCCACATAGGACCTCACAACTGCTACATTACCTACGGGACAGGGTAAAGGACCTTAATGCACATAAATAAAATACTTTACCTTGTGCTTGATAATAACTGTTAGAATAATAATTAAATGAATAAATAAAATAATAATTGCATCAGCATTTGCTGAAGTTTTTTGTAAAATAGACGTTTTAGAATTTTAAATAATATTGGATAGCTAATTATAGTAGTATTTTCTTATTTAAAGTATATATCTTTAAAAAAAAAAAAAAAAAAAGTTTGAGGTCGTAAGATTTTTTTTTTTAAAGAAGTCTCTTCTGCTCACCCAGGCTGCAGTTATTTGATCAAAAATACAGTAAAAAAATTGTAACATTGTAAAATAGTATTAAAATGTAGAATAACTGTTTTCTATAGTATATATTTTAAAATGTCATTTATTCCTGTTATAGCAAAGCCGACATGGTCCTTCAGAAATCATTTTAATATGCCGATTTATTTTGTGGAAACCCTAATACAAGATTTCAGGATTCTTTAAAGTTTTTAAAGGTCAAAAGAACAGCAATTATTTGAAATTGATTTTTGTAACATTATAAAATGTCTTTACTGTCACTTTTGATCAATTTAATGCATCCTCGCTGAAGGAAAGTATTAATTTCTTTCTCTAAAATAATGTATGTGTGAGATATGTGTATATAAGTTTACCTGCTCCAATGCCCACAAATGTACGAGCCAAAAGCATGTGAATTGTTTTGTGTGAGGGAGGTAGGTAGACATAGGCGTAGTAAATGTTAGCAGAGACATTGATGAATATAGAGCAGATTAGAGGCTCTCGTCGAGGCCTGTGATTGGACCACAGTCCAAAGAGGGGTGAGGCCACCATCTGACCCAAACTATATGCAGCAACCACCCATCCCAAGAAACTGGCATCTGCACTTTCATCAATCTAAAAAAGAAATATAGAGCATGACTGATGGATTTACAAGACAGTCACAGACTAACAAGGCTTGAAAAATTACTGTGCAACTGGCTTCAGTCAACCGAGCAATCGCGAAAAAACTTATTTTTTAATAAACTATTTTTTAAATAAATTTAAATAAAACAAAATAACATTTGGAATGTATTAAAAATGTATGTGTAGTGCCCTGAATAATCCTAACTCTAACTGCACACACTTAAGCATAGTCTCTAGACAAAGGACACATTTAAAAAGCGGATCTCAGGTCTTATTTATATATAAATTAGGAATATATAGATCCTAATATATATATTAATATATTAGTATCTTAGGAAACATTCTAATATTTTGAGATACTGTATTTTTGATTTTCATGAGCTGTAAGCTCTAATCATCAAAATTAAAAAAATTAAAAAAAAACGTTTGAAATGTTTTACTTTACATGTAACGAATCTAGAATATATGAAAGTTTCACTGTTTGAAATACGTTACCAAAAAAAGATATTCTAAATTTTTTAGATGCACCTGTATATATATATATATATATTCATTCACAGAATTGAAACCTCTACAGATTTTAGACAACATTTAACATTCTCAGGGGAAAATCACAATCTAAAAATTCAACAGGTTTCAGCTGATGCATTTAGGAATCTTTGGTACACTTTCTTAGAAATGAAACGCACATATACCAACTTCTCTCTTTCACTTCCAGTTTGTACATCAAGCTTATCTCAGGGAATCATACTCTGCACAGAATTTATAGAACTGCCATACTAATGAACATTCACTTCACTCAAACCTCAGCTGCATAGAATACACTTAGTTTCTGTAAATCAAGCAGTAGAACGTGATGCTGTGAAACACCAAGGTCCCGAGTTTGATTCCCAAGAAATGCATCAACTTACAAAATGTATAGCCTAAGTATTATGTAATATAGTGTGTGTAAATGCAAATACACTTACTTTCTTCAGATAGGGCCATATGGAAGTAATGACAATCGTAAAACCTAAGAAAAAAAAACAATGCAATCAGTGATACATATTACACGCATGGACTTTATACTATACAAACAATGCAACTAACATTAATTTATCTATCTATTGTAATTGCAACAGCTGTACAGAGAGATTCCCTCTTGTTTTACTATTTTTTATGAGGTTTAAAGGCATAAAATGTTGAATTACACTGCACAGTGTACAATTAAACACAGCGTGTCCTGATATTGCACAAACATCTTGCAGGTTACAGCAGCTTTTCAGCTTTGAAATGAATGCATGTTGGATGCATGCTTGTTCACTGAACCAGACAGCACAATACATCTGCACAGCAGTGTTTATTGTAATCTGATCAGTAACACAGTCAAAGCAGGAATATGGGTGTGAGAGAGTAAGAACATGTTTCTTACCAACGCTGCTAAGGAACATGGTGAAGTACATGACCCTGATGGACCTCCAGCGGCTTCTGTCTGCATCCCCACCACTTACAGAGGAAAAGACATTCATGGATATATAAATAACAATCATAGCTCTTGCTTGTTTACACTTAATAGGTATACACTTAAGCCTATTTATTTCACAATGATTTCATGCATTATGCATGTTATGTGTCGTGTATTATGACAGGAGCTCATGAATGATATAACATTCATATCTTCACTTCACTCTGTTTCACACCTAAACATTCACACTGGCATGACTTCATCTATTTTTAACTAATCATGTTGTGCATTAGTGACAGAAATGCCCTTGTGACATAACCCACAGGGAACATTGTTAGATTGCTCGAGCTAAATATTTTCAATTCAGACATTTCAAAACAGAAAACAACATCAGCCCTGCCAGACTGCGTCATTGCAAATGCAATTATCAAAACTTACCTTGTAATATCGCCTCTGAGAAGCGGAGTGTTTTCGTCAGACTCCACAAGAGACATTATTAGTGATTAAGCAGCTTGCGAAAAAGAAACAACGACACGACTCAGTTCATTGAAGGTCAGCTCTTTACATTGACATGCTCTTTATAATCAAGTTAACTTGACTGAAAACTGTCTAGATTTGCACAACAGATATCTCGAAATCGCATTCAGGTCTTTGTATAATATTCCCATTTTAGCAGTTATAGGCACAGTAGTGTTAAGAGTAAGTCGGCGTTATTTCACGCGCAGTCTAAAGTCCATTGGTGTTGTTGATTCAGCGCAAACTTCAATCATCTGAACGTTGTCACACGTGAGCAGTGAGAAACAGAATACAACCGCGACATCCAGATTTCAAAATATAGGTCCCAAAAGTCCCTTTTCTTTTCTTTTGATTATTGTATTTAATATTTTCATTTTCAGTGTATTAAATGCATATTAGTTTATATATATATATATATATATATATATAGAGAGAGAGAGAGAGAGAGAGAGAGAGAGAGAGATAGATATAGATAGATAGATAGATAGATAGCACCACACATCCCACCTATGATGGTAAAACTAATAATTTTCCAAGGAAAAGTCAGATTTGATTCAAGATCATGCTCACCAGTTTCCCAACCTGCTGTAGTGTTGGTGAAATATGTATGTTTGACAAGATATCAACCAATGCAATCAGTACAGTTCTATAATTAAACATTACAATCTGCCACTGGATTAATGACAATAACATGTGCATGTTGACCAAGTGGTGAATAAAATGTCAAGAGCAGGATGAATAAACATTTTTGTGATAGTGACAGTTGATAGACAAATAATTGACAACATTTTAGGAATAGAAATTGTGAACAAGCTGAACAGGACTGAATAGGAGCATCTGGAATCTCAAAAGCAGGGGTGTCAAACACACAGCCCGAATACGGCCAAACAATCCCGCCCACGTTATGATTTGAACGATAATATAAAATAAATAAAACATTATATTGAAATTTACATAATTCGCTACAATATTTTATTTTTAATTTAAAGCGAAACATAAGTGATGTTAGCTGCATTGATGCTTGTGTGGCAAGTTAGGCTCGTCTAATAGACGTCTTTTAAACGCAAAATTGCTTGCTGGGTTGTGATTTTAAACATGTCCAAAAGAAGAAAGTTAACCTGGAAAGGCGGATACTGTACTTCAGAAGAAATGGAAAGAAAGGCATTTGTTCTGTGAAGTCAACGCCGACCAGCATGTTTAATCGCAACCCATTTTGTGTTGTAAAAGCATTTGACCGTGTGCGGATTGTTTTTTCTGCTGGCTTCGTGTTGTAAAAGTGTGCAATATTAAACGACAATATGAGATGCACTGAAGCGTGGAATGGAAAAAGTTTTCTACTGTAATATCATAATTGTTGTTTTAATGATGTGCGAGATGACATATTACTCACTTTGCAAAAACAAACAATAACATCTTGAGAGTCCATAATATAATATAATAATTATATATATATATAAAGTGAAGGGAGGTCACACTTCAGGGAACTGAAGACAAATGTGAAGATGGTGATGATGTGAATAGGTGTGAGAGCAGCAGCAGCATTTCTGTCAGTGACATAAGGATGAACCATGCAGACGAAACAACGACACAGTTTGCTTTTTATCCCGTGGATCTACTTACTTGTGTGAAGTGGCTTTCTCAGCTGTGACCCAAGTCTAAACCAAGCAAAGGAACAAACTCAGTGGTAAACAGTCTTGCTACAGCAGTGGCATCACTGTCATGAAATTTTATTTCATCTTATTTCATTTTTATTATTTAAAAATAAGATAAGCTTGAACTTGTGAGCTTGTATCTTGAACTTGGAAAAATGTATCATGGCAATCATAGGTTCCATCAGAACACCATATAAGTTAATTGTTACTACAATAGAATTGTGGTAACTTAGTATTAGTCACAAATGTAATAAAAATGGATTTGGATTTTGAAAAGATTGTGAAGGCTTCTACGACGGTTTAATTGAGATTTCATATTAATTTACTATGGATTTACAGTAGTAACAATAGGCTAATTGTAGTGGTTGTTGGCATTATGTATTTGTTGTGCACCATCAGCGCCACCCAGCGTAACAAACGAAAATGAATAATGTCACAACAACAAACCTTGTCATGAACATCGGTGTTGTTTCTTTCCGTTGTACCCTGTGCTCCATTTTGGACACAATCGGTTTTATTGGGGTCTAAAAGAAGCAAAATCGTTTGGTAAGATATGGTCATTATAACAGCAAATATGCAATTAACATATTCACAAAGACGGATAATATAAATTGTGTGCAAAAACAATGAAGAACATATACCGTTTTAGTGAGCAGCGGCAATAAATTTCACGTTCCACTAAATGTCCCGCCCTCTCGGCTAAAAGAGAGGATTTGATTGGTTATACCACTGTGTTGACAGTCTGTTTGCCCAATTCTATAGGTCAGGGGCCCGTTCTTCGTACGTCGCTTATTACATCCGAGATGAAATGTCACATCCAAGATGATATCATCGCGCTAATCAGGATCTGGCTAATTCGGTTCTTCGAACGCACCTGTTGTCGATGATTAGTATGGCTGGATTGAGTTATCTGAGATAATTGCGCGTTCATGGGTTGGTTTAAAAGGGGCTATGTATCGATACTCGAAACCACGATCAGCAATGCAGCGATTGGCTGGCGGCAAGACAGCAACGTAATGACATCATATAATTAAAAAAGACACCTGACGAAAAACTTGACCAATTTCTGGACTTTTATAAGGAAACAGCAAAGCGAAACTACATACATTTTATAATAGATAAATGAATTTTTTTATTTTAGTTTTTATTTTATTTAAATTCTTTACATGATTCCCAATTATTTTTATTCACGATTTCTAATATTTGTACAGGCTTTACATTTTTATTTCAATGTAGTAATTAGCAATTCATTTAATTTTATATTTTAACAGATTTGTTACGTGACAGCATTATTTAAAGTTTCTTAAGGGTCAAGATCATGTTATCTGCATCTCCTGCGCTCCATCAAGCCACTCCCATAATATCTGTCATCACTCAAATTAATGCACGACTCTACATTATCTGTATAGCATGTGTGTAAGACTCGAATACAATTATGAAGTAATAATTTTATGACGAATAAATCTTTCAGTGAGTAAAACTGGTTATGTCTATAGTAGCCTATTAAAGACTACACAACATTATTATATTATCTTTAAGTTACTTTTTAAATGATTCTTATTTTAAATTATTGTCCCTGGATTAGTAGGGTACTCTTGTAATAAAGTAGCGGTGGTAGAGGACAGATTTTAAGTATCAATTCTGCTTAAGAAGATGCAATCTAATCCTGTTTACATGAAATAAACCTGCTCCCGAGCAGGTTTAAGTTTATGGACCTGTTGCTATGACAGCAACTCCGGGATGAGCTTCGAAGAACCAAACAATCCAAGATCATGCCAAATCGTCAACAATCAAATCCAGCTAACTGAGTTAGCGACGTACGAAGAACGGACCCCAGGTCTTGTGCTCGTAGGGAGAGTATATTTTTTTTAACAAAATAAAACAAGCATTTTCTCAGTAATTTGGGGGATTCTTTTTGAAGAAAACCTGAAGCGTTCATTTTACAGTATGCTTTGCATTGCTTTTCAAAGGCTCATGAGTCTTTGTCAGCGATATATAACGCAAATGATGAGGCTATATTTTATCAACAGATCCCTTACAGGATTTTCACTCTGTCCAGCTGCCTTCTATGGACAGATGTAGAAAGAAAGAAAGGATGCCCACCTCCTTGCTTAAGGTCCTTTTCTAACCCCATTGCTGTTCAGTCTGAGCACAAGTGCACATAAAAAATGTTTTAAGAATGACTAGTTTTTAATAAAAGCTGAACTGTCAAATAAATTCAAATTGACTTAAATTATAGGTGTTAAATGTTCTCAGTACAACATGCAGTGCAATAAGAAGACATATGGTGACCTGTATTTTATGTTTTATTAATAGACTACATATGTATAATAAGCCAGAGCTACTATAAAAATAGAAAGATTAACATTTGAATAGACATTATTCACACATAAACAGTGATACAATAAATATTGTGTAGTTATATTATTGATGGTTGCAGGATGAACAGAGACAACACACATTAAATATTTGTGTCAAAACACATACTGTTACTTGCATACATGAAAGTAGACAAGCATAGATACATTTTTATAATCATTATATAAATGAATAAAGAGATACATAAGTGTAGCAATCATTTTGAGGAAATAATTGAAATCTTTACTTTGTAGTTTTAATAGCTCTCATTGAGCAGGTCCAGCCCACAACAGTGTTGATTGATCTAAATGGAAAGGTCGCTATTTTTATTTGGCTTTATATGGCAAAGAATGAAAGATGATCTTTTAAACCTGCTCTGTTGTTAAAAGCGGCTATGCTCTTTAGGAGACCATACAGTTATAACTCCCCTGCCATCAAGCAGGGCAAAGAAAGGGTACAGCTTCTCACGAAAGTGTCCCGTAAAGGTGTAGATGTGTGATTTGTTCTCTGCATTGTAGAAGGAAATCTGCCCCTCCTCGTAATCAGTGTATATTCCCATCCTTTGGGGCACCAGCAGCAGTGGCAGTGCTGTTTCGGGATTGGTGCATGCGAAAAATTGACGTGTGCTGCGCCACAGGACCCAATAACCAGTAGAAGGATTCATTGGAAAGCGGCCATGCCTCTTTGAGGAAGCAGTTGTCACTCCAACTTTCCAATAACCATTGTTTGCAAATTCCACTTCCCAGTAATGGCGGCCACTCATGTAGCCCTCCCAGCCTAGGACACAGGGCAAGCTGTCAAAACGCTGAGGGCTGTAAGGCAGATTGGCCTCTGTTAGGCCCTCCTGAACTTTCTTGTGGTCATCAGAGAGCTGCAGCCAAGCTTGGTTGGTCAGGGGATCAAGAGTTACATCAGCTATTTGAAAGAAGGACGTGAGGGCATTAGGACTGATGCATTTAACACTTGTTTGTTAATGCTGGAGTGAAGGGTTTTTGGGGGGGAAGGTCAAATTTAAAAGATATAAACTTACCTCCTGCACTGACAATCCAGTTCCAGACTGAAAAAAAAGAGAAAAATATTGAGTCTTCATTTTTTTTTTTCAAACTTCAAATTTTAGTTCTTTCATTTTTTAAATGCACACTTATAACACTATACTTTGTTTTATTCATTAAATTTCAGACAAATATTTAACTCAAATTTGAAATCTTTCTTTCTTTTGACCCTAATCAATCTCTCTCTCAATTTTTTTCCCTCTTTTGGAAAGTCATAGAAATGCTATTGTT